AGGTTTCCCAATTATCTGTGTGTCTATTCATATCTCAGTACCTCAGGGGTTTTTAACCTTCCTTATTTTGAAATATAACACAGCAGAATTTTAATAGTAGCTTTATAGCATTTTAATATCTGGCAGAGACTATCAGTGGACTGAGTATCCATCAACTCTTTCTTCCTGTTTGTTATAAGCCTGAGCTTTTACCTGAGCATATGGCTATCCACCTTTGTGTGTCTCTAATAGTACATATGCATACTATTGTAGACTTAAACTCTGAATGAAATGGGTGTCATCGCAGGGATTTGAACAGAGGAGTGACATGACCACAGTGTCTTGTGCACTACCTTGTGACTATTGTCAGGAGGGATTTATCTACTTATCAGGAAAGCCTGATAAGTGCAAGCCAAGGCATTTCTCCAATCAAGGAACTGACTGCAAATCCTCCACCAAGACCAGAACTAAAGCTGCTCTACAAGTTGAAAAGACTAGGACACTGGAGAACTGGGTGGGTGGCTTTCCTTTGCCTCATCTTAAATTGTTCTGTGTTTGATTTTTATAGACCTGGAAAGGGAAAGGAATGGGAAGGAGATTAATGAGAAAGTTTCTGATCCTGGATTCATGAGACAGGATGCTGTGCTACTTCCACAGATGTTTTGTTACATTTTTACAAATGTTTTCTCATAAAACTTTGAACTTCCTCCTTGAAAAAATATTCTGAAGCTTTGGCTCATCCATTCCAATGGCCAAGAACGTCTTCATTTATAACTTATGGAATAAACACACAGAGGTTCACTGAAGGCGGATGTCACTACTTAAAGATGCCCAGTTAGAACTATTTTTCAAAATATTACAAAAACTCAAATAGAGAATACAAAGCCACAAAAAGTAGCTGAAGACTGAAGTTGCGTCCGGCCAAGAGAATGATAATTTATACTGGGGACAATTTTGGTTTAAACTTTCCAATCATTTCATAAACCAGGTATGTGCTGATTTTTTGTGAGGCTGAGTAAATGCTTAGACTCGTGGGGCTTCCGAACAGTGTGCAATTCTTGCCCAAACCTTCTTAATTTCTTCTTGTCCAAAAGATAAAGGTTATATACTCCATCACTTTGCCTTCCAAACAAAAGCAGAGGTAAAAATAGATGCGTTTTAAGAATTATAACTTAGGGTTTCTATGTTTACTTTAGAACACTGGAAAAGAGTTTTATGTGTCTTTTGTGTTCATTGGTCCTCCTAACATGTCGACAAGGGGGAAATGTTATCTAGAAGTCTTCCTATGAAAGCTTGGCTGAGCCTCTAAGAATAAATGCTTTATGCTAGAAATTGGATGATTTCTAGAAAAGCAGAAAAAAGCTCAAATAATGACTGTGTTTCAAAGACCTTCAAAAATTAAGAAAAACAACATCTTCTAAAACTTTCTTGTTTTTAATGTAAGTTTAGAGTTCCTGGCTGGAATTCGTTACCATTCTTTCCTTTCATGTGAAAGTCCCAGGTTCAATCTCACCTTCCCTTCTACTATTTGGAATTTTGAAGAAGTCCAAAATTTGCTGCGGTCCAGCCACTACAGGATCCAGGGGGCTCCGAAGGTGGGCAAGGCGTCGGCGCGGGAGACAGTCGACTACACAACTCAGAGGCAGTGTGACACTGTTCCGTTTTATTGTGATTTGAGTACAACTTTTATACTTTTTATTTTGGCATTTGATTATACTTTGTAGTTAAGGTAGCAGGGAGTTAAATTTCTGTGGATAAGCTGGTTCTAGTAATTCAGCTTGTTGTAATTTATTCATAACATCTTTAAGAGGCGTGTCAAAAGGAATTTCTCTTAATAATTGTTCAAATAAAGGGTTTACGCATTCTGGACACGTCAGGGTGACTAGAGCTGATTCCATACGCAGGGAATTTACTATGTTTTCCTCAGAGCCAATTTTGAGGAAATCCATTTGTACAGTGTTTACACTTACTAGAATTTGTGCTACCCAAATTCCCCCTGTTAATAGGATCGTTCCTAAGAAACCAATTATCCCTAAACACATGCCACGTCCTCATTCTTGACGATGCATTCCTTGAAGCCTCTGTCCCCATCTCCGGACCTTGTCATGCAGTAGGGTAGAAAGAGGACGTGGCAAAAATTATTGAAAATTCACACCCCAACTGCATGTTGGTATTGTTATTGAGAATGGGTGTGTGTGAGAGAGATGGGGGATAAAGCAAATGAGTTATGTGATAATCTAATTCTGTTATGCCAGGTGACTTTGAGAACCGGAATACTTTCTGTGGGTAAGGGACAATAAATGTTAGAAGAGTTTAGGTAAACACCCTGTATTTTTACCACTTCCCTGACAATGCTAGGACCTTAGAAAAATTTTAACTCTAATTACCTTTCTCCTGCCTTTTGTGTTATTAATTCCATGTGTTTTAATTCTAGGCCCTGAAATCTAATACTAGTAAGCATCCCTAGCGCCCAGACTATGGTCTTGAAATATCATTTCTCTCTAAAAGACACCTGAGCTGCTTGGAGAAATGGCTGATTCCAGGTTTGAGATGGGAAATGTAGAAGATGAGCCAGGAGCATCCTGTTATATCGAATAGCGAAAAAAAAAAAAATGCAAATAAAGAATAAAAAACTATCAAAGGCAGTCTGCAGAGGCATCTACTGGCTCAAGATAGAATAAATAAGCTGAACATCAGCAAGAGTAGCTGCAATGGACTGAAAAATACCAATTATATTTAAATCCAAGAGTTCATAATGATTTAAAAGACTTCACTAAACCTAATAAATCACCTTTGAAGGATGTGGTTTATTTTGCAAACTGGTACATAAAGATAAGAATCAAGCGTTTTACCGCCTTTCCTATATAAACTATACCTCTGGGTAAACAACTGGTAAATGAAAGAAAGCTTCTCTACAGACGTATTTCAACAAATACACCAAGAAGAGATGAGGGCATTGGAAAGCACCATTTTGTAATCCCTAATGAATTAAGGACTTAGGTATTGAGCATCTATGGCTGCTATGATCAGAAAGATGATTATATGATTATATATCTTTTGACTAACATACTACCACCTATGAAGTGTTTTTAAACAAACGAACAAACAAAAAAAAAAACCCAAACAAACTTGAATCCAATTAAGCTTCTGGATGTAACTATTAATTTATAGAAAACATAGAGGACAGAGGTACATGCTAAACTACACAATAGCCACACAATCAGTATAATCCCAACTTTGGGTAACCAGGATAAATGATCTAGCTTCCTCAACAAACAAATTGCAAGAGGTTAAAAAAGATGATATAGAAGAGGAATTTATAGATTAAGAGATCCAAAAGACAAAATAAAGGCAAAGCCAAATACAGTGTGTAGGGATTTACATTTGGGTGATGTAGTGCGTGGAATGGTGGCCCCTCCGAAAATATGACATCTTACTCTCTGGGATGGTGAAACCTACCTTAATTGGAAAAATAGTCTTTTTTTCCAGATGTAATGAAGGATTTTGAGATGAGGAAATCATCCTGGATTATCCAGTTGGGCCCTAAATCCAATTACAAATGTCCTCATAAAGAGTTAGGCAGAAGGAGGTTTGACACAGACAGAAGAGACAATCTGAACAGGGAGGTAGAGATGAGTGCTTGTGGCTACAAATTAAGAAATGATGACAGCTACCATAGAATGGAAAAGGCTGAATTTTCCCCAAAAGACACCAGAGGGAAAGCAGTCCTGCAGATACCTGGATTTCGGATTTCTGGCCAGAACTTTGAAAATAAAAACATCTGTCCATGAAAGAACTAGAAAGTTTCTAGATGTATAATTAAAGATGTATTTAGCAAGTTTCAGTGTCCAGTAGGCTTTGCTAAATGATCCCAGATTACACATATCCAGCAGCCTTATAAATGGTGGTGAACAAAGGTGGTAAGGGCTGATGGGTATGACAATTGGCTCATCTCTCCCTATTAAGTACACAGTGCTGGGGAGAGAGAAAGCTCTCTGCTCTTATAAGGATTCTAATCCAACAGGATGAGGGCCCTACCTTTATGACCACCTTTAGCCTTAATTACTTCCACATGGGCCTATCTCCAAATAGTCACATTTGAGGTAAAGGCTTGAACCTATCAATTTTGGGGGACACCAGCATTCAGTCTGTAATACAGCATATATTTACATGAATGTGAAAACAAAGTCTAATGTGCCTTTAAGCATGTACCCTCGATGTTGATTCTATTTCAGTTCAAGATAAAAACTAAAACCTTGTGAGAAACGCAACTTAAAAACTTCGGATAGAGTCCTCTTAAGTCATGCTTAAAATCATCTCCACAATTTTAATTATTTTATAAAATAGTGCTTGCCTTCCCAAAGCAATGGCTTGCACTCAATTATAGTAAAATATTTTTCATTTATAATACAGTGATTTGGAACTGGGGGTAATCCTAACAGAAGAGTTTACCTTCCTTAATCTTGAGTGCACAAATAGCAAAAGAGAATTTATAGAATATAGGCGCTGCAAATAAAACACCTCAGACCAGAAGTTATTTTCAAGATTTTTAAAGCACCTCTGAAATGCTTTTCAGTAAAAATCATCAATACTATCATCCTTCAAAAAAAGGATATACAAACAAAATGTGAGACCAGACCTTGAGAATACTAAGATGTGATCCATGACCTCAAAACTAGCCAAGAGACATGCTATGCATATATAAATGTGACAGTGGGAGTTTATTGTGGCTGAAAGTCAGGAAAGAATTCCCACAGGGTGGACTTGAGTCAGAATTTTATAGGACTTACGTAAGCCAAAAGGAGGGGAAGATGAGTACAACTATTCTCATCCATTCCATAAAACAGATCTCAAAAGCACACAAGGCAACCTATTATTGATCTAGCATTAACTGCTAAATGTTCCTGAGAGCAATAAAATAGTCTGTAATTCAATCATAGATTGAAGTAGTCTATAATTCAGTTGTTTCACTAATTCAGACTGTCAACTCAACTGGCCCAAATTCAAGCAGTTGTACCACATAAACAGTAATTTATTTATTTTTTATTGAAAATACATAGTATTAAAGAAAAACATTCAAATAAATTAAGAATCATTCCATATCCCCCTACACTAACACAATGATTTTGTTTTGCATATTACCTTCCACGTGCATAGATTTTACAGTCACAAAATCATACTGTGCATACTATTTTATATTGTGCTTATTTTACTTATATCACAAACACATTCGTTTCTAGTCTTCCAAATAATTATTTTAATGGCAATATAATACTTCACTATTTTTATTAGCCCACTTTCTTCTTTGACATGTAGCTTATTTCCAATTTAATGCTATTATAAATAATGCAGACATAAACATCCTCATGCATTTACCTTTTTTATGGTTTGTTTCATTTTTATATTATTCTCTAGGTTACAAATCTAGGAGTAGAGTTTATGGGCAAAGATATGGTCATTTTTATGGCTCTTTCTATGTAGTACCACGTTGCAATCCCAAAGGGTTGAATCTGCTTAAAATGCCATATGAAATACATTAAACAGTTTCTTTCTAAAATTAAAAAAACAAAAGAGGTAATTTTAAACGTCTGTATTTAAAGTTAAAATAACGACTGTCCCTTAAAAAAAAAGAAGAGTGTGGATAGATGGTCTAATGGATTAGTAAAAGTTTAGATGAGTTAACTTAATGCTTCTCAACTTTTCTGAAGTTATGGCACTAATGTGGAAAATGGAAAAGGGTGTTTATGGCCCAGCAGCTCCAGCTATCCATGTCACCTCTGGCTGCCTCGAGGGTTATAAGGATCCATATCTAGGCAAAACTATGACCCAAAGTGCCAGTGTGCATGGGTTGGGAAGCTCTACTTGGGGAGAGATTAAGCGACTCAATCCAAGTCACAAAATCTAGTTAGTTGCAGAGCTGGAAAATGAATGCAAATTTCTTTCATCGAGGTATTTTATATAATCACAACTGTTCTACATGCTTTCTGGCTCTAAAATTCAATTTTACATGTAGACATGTGTTAATATTTAAGACTAAAGTTGATTTTCTAACATGCTAAAACTAAAGATACCTAATCTAGTAATTTACATCAAAGCTGTTAATTAAAAATATCTCAGCATCAGCAAATATTTGGCTATTTTCTCTGCAACTTTTCAGATTTGCCATTCTTTTAGTTTGTAAACTCCGAATAGTAATTGATCTTTGCACAGTATCTGTATATCTCTGGTAGTCAGTAAATAAAGAATAACAATAAATTATACATACAACAAAGGAAAAAAAATCTTTCTTTTAAAGTGTTGATCTTGTAGAGGTAGAGAAGATTCCCTCCTTAAACTTCAAATTCTTGACTAGCTAAATGGAACCTTTAATGTGCACTGTCTATTACATTACAGAGTCATAAAGGACATTTTGTTCCAAAAAATAGTTTTGACCTATACCCAGTGTTCATGCTACCAGGAGAAAAAATTCACTGCAAAGGCATTTTACCTTCTACAAACTATCCAACATTCCATATAGCCTTTGAAAAGCAGAGATTATAGGTGTTAACTTCACTGATTCAACTGTAAATATACATAAGATTTTTCTTGACCATTAATCACTGGGCAGGGGTGTTGGAGCAGGGGTTAGGAATGAGAATTTACCTATGTGCCAGGCCACAAGAACAAGCAATGGACTCCAAACTCTGTGTTTTTTTATTACACCTGAAACAGTGATTACTTGGTCACTTCTATGGATTCAATTAGACATTATACACACAGACGCATCCATGTGATCGCATGGCACTTGGAAGATTACCCACTATTTCCCACTTATTAAGATCTGGATCATATTTTTCAATGCTCTGAAGATACGTTCCTTTAGAGTAAGAATATCCCCCAGTGACATAAATACATCCATTCATGATGACGGCACCACACTCCATCCTCCTTTCCATCATGGAAGCTATCTCTCTCCATTCATTTTGTTCAGGGTCATAGCATTCCGCGATTGTAGTTTGTCCACCAACTAGATAAAGCTTACTTTCAAATGGAACTGAACACAATCCATATTCTATTATAAAGAAAAATGCAAATTTAATTAGGATAACAAACAAAAGACATCTTAAGGTGGTGATGTAATCATCTTTTACAATGTAGCATACAAAAATAGAGACATTTTGATTCCAGCACACATTACTGAAACACTAAGTCTTAAAATCCACTTCTTATCGCTTGATTCAGATGACCTGCTCTTGCCATTTTCTCTCAGGTCATCATTAAGCTGTCAGGTTGCCGGGAGGGAACTCATCCTCAGACCACTATCCTGCTGGGAATTGCCCAGCATGGAAACCTTTTATTCTACACCTATGTATAAAAGATGGCAGCGGGAGAGTCTCTCTGACATTAAGACATTCTAGGTAATTGGTGTAGGTTCCTTCAGGTCTTAGCAGCTATCCCTGTTCCCAATGGCAGGCAATCTGTAGTGTCTGTTGCCACAGGTGCCACATAGATTGCTTTGATTGCCTCTCTCACACTGCTGGTCAAGTTAAAGACACAAGTTAGAAAAACGCACAACCAGAGTAGTGGGGGAACTACAGCCTATCATCTTAAGAAGCTGTGAATGGTGCCCAAAGGCAGAGAGCTACTGTACGAGGTTTGGGTCCTGGGGCTGGAGTCTGCCTTTAGGTATTGGCCTTCCAGGTTGTTTTAATTTTTCCCATTTTATTTCTCTCCCCCTCCACATCCAAATCTGCTGACTCTTCAAAGCACCAAGGTCTTTTGCAACTTCAATTCCTTCTACTTAGAGGTCTCTTCTTTTCCCAGGTGTTTGCACGGCTGCCTCCTTCTTGCCGTTGAGGTCTCATCTTACCGTCACGACCTCTGAGGGGCCTTCCTTGACCATCCAACCTGAAGTGGCCAACTCAGGCATCTCTACCACATCCCCCTATTTGAATTCCCTCCACTTCTCATTATCTGGTATGTTTCTTATTTACTGTCTCACTCTCCCTTCTAACAGTGCAGGAACCGTGTCCTGCCTACTGCTCCAGTCCCAACTGGAGAATGACGAGGGTCTGGCACCTTGTAAGGACTCAATGAATGTTTGTTGAAACAACAAACAAATGTGCCCTCTGTGTCCAAATATGTGCTCCTATTATTTTGTGGAAGAAAAGCTTATAAATCCCTCTTTAGAAAGAGAGACTATACAATCAGAAATATGATTTCCCTTTTCAGAATGGAAGACAAATTTTATCAGTAAAATTCTTGTTATTTAGGTTTTGAAGGCTAAGAAAAAGTCTCAGAAGATATGCACTTTTGCGTTGAGTCCACGTACTGTTGTTCTCAAGTTTCTCACATCCAAGAAAATAAGATTTATCCCACCTCTGAAAAACCTAGCTATTACTTTCCAGTTACAGACATGTAGAATTTTTCACAGGATTTAGTTGTTTTAAGTACTTGTGAAATAGTTTATATAAATTATATAAATCATTCCATCAAATGGTTATTGTGAAAATTAATGATGATTTAAAAATTTTATCAGTTGATGTAAGTGATTTACTAGGCTTTTCTTAAATTATTCAAAGTTTACAAAAAATCCTGCATATGGAATTCTTATGTTAAGAGAGGTATCTCAATGTTCCTACAGCAGTAAAAACGTTTAAAACAAAGTGATTCCTGATAGTTTTTCTCATTAGGTAAATACAACATAATGTTATGTTATTGTTGATGAAATGTTTTCTTCCTCAGCTGTAGCTGCCTTTTTTCCTTGCTGGTCACTCTACAAAGCTACTGTAGCTAAGTAAGGGACTGTGTCTTGTTTGTTGAGCTCCTCAAATCGTACACGGCATGTAGGAAGCACTGAGCAAATAACTTGGACAAATGAATGAATGAACGATTTCATTCTAAGCACGGAAATGGCACCATTTGTCATAGCTCAGAGTTTACGCACAAATATTCACTATAAGTTACACAGCAGTCTGTATTCAGTGTTACATGAGTGATATGAACAAAGCCATGCAGAAATTCAGAGACATCCACAATATTTTCAGGTATTCAATATCTGTTGAATGATTTAAATTTTTTTACCAAAGATTTTTCTCACTGAAGAGACCTGTATCTAATTTAACTCCTTATTTCACTGGAAGTAAGACCCGAGAGCTTAAGTCACTGCCTAAGATTAGGCAAGTAGATAAATAAGAGAGCCGGGAGAGAGCTCTCTCCCCACTTGACACAACTCTCCACAGGTTTTTCTCCTTAATCACTGCTTCTTCCCTGTTCTTTATTCACTCTTCTTCCTCAGCGCATCCCTTAACTAAGGCTGTTTCCCAAGATTCTGCCTATAGTTGTACTGTTGGCCTCACCCTCTGAAGGCGTCTCATTCATCCCCACACCCAGTGCCATCGTCTCCAAGCAAACGACTCCCAGATCTCTACATTTAGCCACACTCTTCCTCCTGAGCTGTAGACCAACATTTCCCATGGCTCACTGGGCAGCTCTTCTGGGTGATCTAACTAGTTTTTCATTTAACTACAAAACCGAGGTCATCATCAATCCACCTCTCCCTTCCTATTGGCTGCTCCTTCAATGTTCCCCATCCTCCCAGTCGACCAGCCAGAGACCCTGGAATGACTGTCAATTCCTTTCTCTCTCTCATCTCCTATATCTAATCAGTCAGGCAGCTACCAATTCAATGCTGAATCTATAGCATTCCTCAGGTCTGCCCGTTTTCTACTCCTACCACTTCAGGCTTTCAGTATTTCCCGCCTGGTTTATTACCAATAGTTTTAGCAGCTCTCCCTGCCATCTTTCTTCCAATCTGTCTAAAAGGAGAGCTCCTCTTAAAACTAAAACTGACCACAATCAATCTTCTTGTTCTGAAACCTTTCACAGTTCATTTTTAAAATTCTCCCGACTGCCATTTAAAACCCTCTATGACATACTCCTCAACTAAACTCTTCCATCCAATCTCTCATTCTCCCTCCTACATCTCATTCATGTACATCTACTCTTGGGTACTGGAATAAACCTGGAACTTTCTCTTCTGGCTTTCTTCACTAGCTAACTTTCTGCCAGAAAACCCTTTTTCGAAAACTACCTTCCTTAATTGCAATCATTCTTTAAAAGGCCTAAATCATAACAACCTACTCTTGGAAGCTTCTGACATTGCTAGATTTCCCTTATTTAGACTCAAGCTCTCTCTACCCTCAAAAGGACTCATTTGTAAAAAACTGTTTTGTATTCTTGATATGAACGTATATTTGCTACTAGATTCTGAGTTCCTGTGGCAATAGAAATGAGCTCTTAATCATCTTACATAATAACTAGAATGATATCTTTCCCAAGGTAAGGTCTCAGTAAATGTTATCTTCAATTTAATAGAATTATAATCCCCTGTTTTTCAACTATACAAAGCTACTGCCCTTAAAGGCATTAAGAAAAGAGATAACATTTATATTACATTTTAAAAATAATAGTAATTTCCTTGCAGTCTAATCTATAAGAGAGGCCCAAGACTAACATTTTACATTCCTCAGGAGGTGCTCCTAAAATGCCTATGAAGCATATCTTGCTATACTTCAGAAGCTATAGATCTAAATGCCCCTAGGGGCTAAGGAGATAGACTGAGCTGAGTGAAGCAGACCAGGGGTGAGAAAAACAACAGCAAGGCCCCTGAGGTCTGTGATATGATGAGAATGGGTGAAGCTATGGCTGACATAGAGGCTACATGGCTCATTTAGAGGGAACAGTCACTACTTGGTCCCAGCGATTGCTGTCATGGTCCAAGGTTGCCAGATCTTCCAAAGGCCAGATATCACAATTTTTATTTGAAATCTCCTGAATTTTAAACATTGGTAACAACCCAGTTAAAAAATATTTTAAATAACATGAGAGCCAAACAAAACATACCATGAATGGTCCTAATTTGATAGCTTAGTTTTTTGTATTACTTCAGGAAAAAGTCCAAGGAAAATCAAAACTTTACAAATGGAATTATAGGTTCCCACTGATTTATACTACATTTATTTTTGATTGATTTTTCAATTTGCCATGGCTTTTCACACTTTGGTTTAAGTCTTACTGCCTTTTAGACTTTCAAGCAGTTAAGTTATATACAACTTAAATATGCTATGGGACATTTATTTTTAAAAGAACCCTTTTATGAAATATATATTAAATGTGTAAATGTAAGTAACTGCCTTCTCATTTGTTAATCTGACTTTTCATGTATTGGATTTTCTCTGTAAAGATAAGTCTAGTAATATCTAACTCATATGGTTAACATGAGGATCAAATGAGGTAACAATGTAGTTGTTAACAGCATGTTGCTCCCAGCCAGACTGCCTGGATTTGAACCTCGCCTCTAATAAGCACTAGCTGGCTGACCTTGGGCAAATTATTTACTCTGTGCCTCAGATAATAGAGATGATAAATGAGATAACAGTAGCACCTAGCTCACAGGATTACTGTAAGGATTAAATAGAGTAATACATGTAAAATTACTGGAACAGTTAGTGCTTGGCACATATTTACTGAATAAATGTTAACGACTACTCAATAGGAGCTGTTATTATTACTTCCCTTATAACTTCATTGGTCATAATGGAAAGTGGTGAGGAGTCTGGGACAATACATCTGGGATACTAGAAGACAGAGGCTACCATACCATGATCTCTTCAGGGCCAGGACAGCCTGCCGTGAAATGTCTTAGGTAAAGCCCATGGCATATGGAGATGTAGCACCAGATTCAGGTGTGCTCTACCTAAACTGTGAGATAACATATATGAGGTATGGGTGTTAGTAGCTGCACTGGTCAAAAGCAGGAGAGCCTGCTTTCTTAAGGAGAGGCAGATTGTGTAGTGGTTACGGCACAGGTTATGCAGTCAGACTGCCTGGACTGAACCTGGTCCATCACTTCCAAACTGTGGGCAAGGCTACTTATCCTTTCAAGGCCTCCATTTCCAAATAAGCAAAAGAGGTAAACAATACTCACTCACACATAGTTAGAATTTAAGGTAATACTACATGCAAAGTGCTTAGTAATATCTGACCTATGAAAGTGCTCAAGGTTAGCTGTTACTATTTCTCTTAGATGGTTTAGGCTTGTGAATTTCAATTATGCTCTCCAATAACCCACTTGGAAGCCTGATGCTGTATCGAAAAAGAATGAAAGTAGTATATTGATTTGGCGATATGAATCTCTCCTAATGAAAAAAACTTAAATGTAAGGCGTAACTGTAACGGGCTATAGCTTATGCTTCCCCTGAGCTCTTCGCAAAGAGACAAGTCAAAGCACAAGAGACACCACAGAAGGCAGGCCATTCCTCTGGGCAGACAACACATCTCCTTTATGATTGTTAAAGTAAGGACAACATAAAGCTCTGCATGTCATAGGAGTGAGTGCTTAATAGTTATTGAAACCCAGAAAGAGCATGCTTCTAAAAGAAGAAACTATCTCCTGTTGACCTGAATCAACAGGTACCCTTCTCAACTATTTGATAGACTAGTGCTTTTCAACTATCTATAAAAATTGTGTTTTATATAATGCATGTAATGAAAGAAAGCACATAACAAAGGGATAGGAAACAAAATAACATATGTGAGTGAAAAAATTTTGAAAAGAAACTACTACTCTTAGCCACACAGGCTTAAAATGTATGTCATATAAAGACCAGAGGGAAAGTATTTACAGATATCCTCTATAAATCTGTATAATCTAAGTTGTGATTATTGCTACATGGAAATAAGAATATTTTGAACCTTTTAATTATACCCACTTGAAAGCCTGATGCTGTATCGAAATTTAACATTTTCTATTTCTAGCCCATTTCGGCCATCTCATATTGATAAGTTGTATCAGAACATGTACTACTGAGACAGCACTTTGTTACCTGGATGTGGACTGGAAGTGATGAGGCTCCATTCGTTGATATCGGAATTGTAGCTCTGGACCTTGTCATAGGTGCAGCTTCCTCTGTAGCCACAGTGTCCACCAATGACGTAGATAACCTCATGTAAAACACAGGCAGTAGCATTTCCTACACCTGTGTATTAATTAAAATCATACCTTCAGATTGATCTTTCATTATTCTTTGCAATGAGTATTGTATTGTTTTTGTCATTATTTATAGTAGATGTAAGGCATTGTGCTAGGTACTATGAAGGATAGAAGAATGAAAACGGAAGTCTCTTTGCACTCTTTTAAAAGAGGGCGAGACAATTGTACAAATTAGAATACAGGGTACAGAACTAACTGTGGATGTTCCCAGCAAGGAGACATTGCTTTTGACTTTGGGAAGTTATGGCAGGAGGAGAAAAATTTGACCTGGGTCTTAGTAGGTAGGGCTTTGGTAGGGAGAAGTGAGAAGAAGCCATTCTAAGTGAGTGCAAGGCAAGTGCAAAGGCTTATTGGGCAATATTTTGATTCTGGCACCAAGGAAGGGGAGGTGGCACACCTTGTGGCCGATTTTAAACGTGTTTAAACAAAGGGAGGGATTACAAACATAGAAAAGAAGAACCGGTCCAGATGCAAAGTGTTAAGGGCTTGAGTTAGAAGGGGCCTTGGGTATAGAGGAAGGGCACTGAGGCAAGAGACACAGGTAAAACAGACATGCCTTCATGACTGACTTAATTGGAGATAAGCCAGATTCTGAGGTCCTGAGCTCAGAAAACTGGGAAACGCTGATGACAAAGAAAAATGAAGAGGAGGAGAAAATGGTTTCAGCAGGGGAACAAGAAGAGAGGAAGAAAGATGATGACGCTCATTTTAGTTGAGATGTCAGTTTAGTCTTTCAATTAACTTTTACTTAGCACTGTTACATGCAGGGTGCAGTTCCATCTCCTTGTTAATTTCTACTGCAAAACAAAGGTGAGTTTATGAGCAGGGCAGTTATGAAGAGTGGGGAAAAAGTTAGGCGTTTCTAAACAGCCAATTATTTATTTCTTCTCTGTACCTCCCTAAACCAAAAAAGGAAATGAATTTGAAATTCGACTCTACCCAATTTAAGTTCTCATTACCAGGGAAAGCTGCTAGTTCACTTCAAGACTATAAAATAAAAGAATCTGGGGAAAATAATGTTATCCTTTCTACAGAAAATGGGAAACTAAAAGTTCGGCATGAGTGTGATCATCAGAACCAGTACTAGCCAAAACTGCATAACTGACAAACTGTTATCCTTCCCTGGAATAACATTAAGCATAACCAGGAATAGGGTGGTTAGGCATAACCAGGAATCAAACCTTCAAGTTAAAAGGATGAAACTTTGGAATTTCAGATCCAGCTTGTAGGTGGGGGAGAACTTTGGCAAATGAGGGTCTCCCAGTCCACTCAAGGCTGAGTCAAGTACAAATATGGCTTTCTTTCATGGTGGATACACCATTGCAATATTTTCTTTTCAGCAAGCATTGTTTCGAACGATTTAATAAAATTTCAGTAAATAAATTTCTATCCTCAAAGAAATATACTGTGAACTCGAAACCATCAAAACTGTTACCTCATCATTAAGAAACAGAGGGAGAAGTGTATCCAAGTTTATAATAGCTGCTAAAATATTTGCAATGTCCTTGTTTCTTCTGTAGAAGAGTCGGACAGGACATTCAGAACCACTTGGAGAGAGGACTGGAAATCAGCAAGTGGGGGTCATGCTCAGGCAGTCAAAAATCAGAGCAGCAATACCAGTGGGTTTTAAGCCACCTTCTCCTACCCAGCCAACCACTGCTAAACCTTTGGGCATGCAAGAGAACGGTCATAATTTAATATGAAAGATACTTCTGTCCTAACAAAGCTGACTTGTCCTCAAAGATGTTCATGACAAGAATGCCTAATACTTACTGAGTGCTTACTCTGTGCTAGACACTGTTCTAAGCACTTCATATGCATAAATTAATCTTCTCAAAAACTCTAAGCTATGTAATGTTGTCACCCCCATTGTACAGATGGCAAAACTGGGGCACAGGGAGATTAAACAATTTGCCCAAGCTCACCAGCAAGTAAGTGGAAGTCGGGATTTGGACCCAGGCAGTTTGGCTTCAGAAGCAGTGTGCCTGATCACAAGACCATTCTGCCTCTCAGGCTTCCTGCTTGTCATCCAAGGATCACACCAGGTCAGATTCCCAGACCAGGTCAGATTCCCACACCCTCATTAGTGTTAAAAAAAGAAACAGAAAGGCCTGGGAAGAAACAGTTGGGATAAAATCACACAAATCTGGTAACAACCTACCAGTTGTTTCTGTGCAACTCCCCAGCACCAATGAATAAATGTAATTAAATACAATTCCAGTTTCACTTTTTTTGTTTTCCAATGGGAGAAAGGAAGGAGAGCAAGGCTAATCTAGTACCAAACAGTAGAAAATACAGTGTTTATCAGACAGATATTGAGACTAAGAGTGTGCCTGGCTCTGTGGGCCACATAAGGGAGGGTATGGAATCTGCCCCTCTCTTTGACCCTATGAGACAAGACTTGAATCAAAAAAGCAGAGGCTATTTGTCTCCATTTTTTGAGAGACCAAACCGTTCAAGAATTTAATGAAAGACCTTTCAACAGAGAGATGATCAGCTGATGAGAGGAAAAAGCAGACTATTTAAAAGGAAAATAAAAAACGGGTTCAATTTTGAGAGAAAGCCAAAATAAATAAATAAACACAAACTAATAAAACTACCCACCTTTTTCTCTATTTAACCCTTGACTTAGATACACATTCTAAGACTCAAATCAAGATACAGCCTCAAAACAGGCTATAGAGTAAGTAGAATGAATTATAATGGTTTCTAATATAAGTATTTCTCTTCTAGTCTGGGTAGCGTACTGTAAGCACGTAACTCTCAAACAAATTGGAGACTGCTATATTAGGTTTTTACTTGGAACAATATTATTTATATGATCCACTATAGTTCCTAGGTAGCATTCCAAATGATAAATTCTTTTTAAAGTTATCTGCAAGAGAAGCAAGATTATTGCCTAACCTCAAACATGTCAAAAATATAGAATGAACATAATCTGCACACTTACCTTTAATCATGTTTGCAATAGGAATCCATTTCTCTTTTAATGGATCATAGAACTCGGCCTCTTCTGCCGGAGCCCCTTTTCTGTAACCGCCTAAAGCATAGACACAGCCTCCCAAGGTGACTGCACAGTGGTAATACCTGGCGTTGAGCATTGGCAAACCTTCCGTCCATTCATCACTTTCACTGTTATAGATCCACACTGTGTCAAGAGCTTCTATGTTATCCGTCCTGTAACCCCCCGTTACATAAATGTTGGGTCCCAAACATGTAACACCATAGCTCTCCCTAGTATAATCTGGTATTTCTGCTCCCTGAATCCAAACATTTGTCAAAGGATCCCATATGTGAACTTCTGATAAGGGATGCCAGTAATAGCCTCCAATGATATACATCGTGGCTGTGGACCTCTGGGAAATCTCTTTGTGCATGGGATTCAAAGCATTGTATATTAGAGACCGTATCTTATTTTCAGTTAGTAGGCAGCTTCTTTGAAGGCCTAAAGCTGTTTTTAAATACACTGGATCTATATCTATGTTGATATAGCTTAGTAGATTATATAGGCATTCAATTCGATTTTCTACATCATGAGCAGTCCACTTAATAACTGGCTCTATGATGGCTTCTTCTTTCCAAACACTGAGATTCTTTCTGGACAAGATAAAGAGAAACTTTTCAAGGCTGATTTCCAGAAATTCTTCTTGTTGCCATACTTCCTTGAACCTTGAACATAGAATTCTTCGAGATTCCTTCTCTAATTCTGGACACACATGAAATTCTGCAAAGGAGTGCATTCCAATACAATTATCAATATCCAGGTGCCTTACCAAAAACTGCTCACAAGCTTTCTTCACTGAAAGGAACTGTAGCAGATCTGCTGCTTCAAGCAGGCTTTGAACATTTCTTTTAGTTATTTCAATTTGGGAAGTGTATGCATAATTTACAAGGCCTTCCAAAATATCATGGTGAATACCAGAGATTTTTATTTTATTTTTAAATTTTTCTTTCATGTCAGCTGTGAACATTGCCTTAAAATAATTGCTGCAAGCAGCTAAAACAGCTCGGTGACAATGGAAGATTATGCCTGAAGGACACTGAAGGGTAATATCAGTAAATAATCCATCCAAGTAAAATGTTCTGAATGCATTCAGAAAATCCACTGGATGTGTTAAATCCTTGAAAAGGTAAATATAATCTTCTTGTCCTTTTAGAGCCATGGCTGCAACATGAAACAATGAAAACGTGTTTTCGATTTTGCATATTACCTCAAATAATCAACGTTACATATTCCAATCATTATAATGACTGATTAGCATCAAATATACTCCCAAACTAGACCAAGTTCAACATTCTAAGTAACAAATGCAAAATGTGGATGGGCTTATTTCCTAACTGTATGATGGTCAATTTAAATTTACTGTAACTCGGAGCCTGAAATGAAGCTCCCGCATTTTTCAGTAGTCCTTTCTAGAAGAAATATTGATTTGCTACCCCAACAATCCGGTCTCCACAGTCTGCCCGGAGCTGGCGGTCCGACAGACATCCCACTCTTGGCAAACCTAGTGTCCAACGGGTCACCCCACTCGAGGCCGGCTCTTGGCCGTCTCGGTTCGGCCCCAATTCAATCCTTTTCGCTAGCTCCGTTTCCCCTTTCAAGTTGCTTCGAGATGCCAAGAGAGGGATGATCGAAATATAATGGGACAAGAAAAAATCTCAGAAAAGGAAACCTCGTGCCTTTCTGCTGAAGACTTCCAGCCCCGCACCCCCTCCCCCGCGGTGCCGCAGGGGTTTCCGCACGCCCCGCGCCTGG